TTTTTTTACACAATATCTATATTTTCTAATATATTCATCTTATTATGTTAAAAAAACACAAAAATTTGAGTGCATCGTTTGGGACATGTGAAATGAGTTGTATTCGACACAAATTCTCCAACAGTGTAATAATATTATGAATTTGGTCACTGAAATAACCCGTCAACCTTATAGCTTTTATATAGAAAAATACCCATAGAAGTCCCAGAAGCAAATTCTAAAATATTAACAATAATCAAAAATTATTTACATTCAACATTAATCAATTAATTTAAAGTCTGTTATTTTAAAAATATGTATTTAATATAGCACTAAATAATATAAGCCATAAATTAAATTAATATTATTTAAACAGGTTGCTAAAAAAGATAATTTAGCATTTATATGGCAGATTATAGTACACACTATGTACCTACTGAATCAAAAAACTTTAATGAGTCGAAAACTCAACCGTTTTTTATATAAACATTTTTATATGTTAGCATCATGAATGACTTACTTGCTATATTTACAGAATGTTTTTCACACGACCTCCTTTCATTTCCATGCTTGGCATCTTTTTCTTACAAAATTTTACAGAATTCTTTCTGCAGAACGTAGTTTAGAAACATTGAGATAAACATCGCATGCGTAGAAAGAAGTAAGTCATTCATGATGTTAATTTTCTAAAATATTTATATCTCAAAAATGGTTAAGCTTTCAATGTATGGTCACTAAGATTTGTTTACTTAGTATAATGTGTACTACCTGCATAAATGCTAAATAAATTTTTTAATACTGTATATTTTATATTATATTATATAATACATATATACTTTTGTAATATACTATTATTTAAAAGATTTCATCGATGTACGTGCCTATTCAGAAAATTAAAAAATTTAGAAACTGTTTATAAAATGTTTTTATTCTAACTACATTAAACTTTTAACATAATTTACTAATTGCTCTCTAAAAAATATATCGATTCTTATTTTTGCCAATGTCACTAATTATCAATTCCATTATTTGAGAACAATGCAGAGTTACACTGTCGCGCGACTTTTTATCCGAAGCAATACGTTTTTTCGATTAGCCCGATTATTTTCGTTAACTTCGCTTCGATTCATTTATTATAAGTTTAATAAATATATGACTGATTGCACTTTAATTCTTCTACAAATTTCTCATATTATTATTATAAAAAATCTCATATTATTATTAATTCATTTTCGCATTCTAAAATAAAAATGTACATAATGTAATGTTATGCTGCATATGTTTTCCACTTCTCCTTCAATTTCTAAAGTACTCAGACTTGTTGGTAAAGAGAATTAATTAAATAAGGAAAGGAAAAAAACTAATAGCTTAAACATTCCATAAAAAATTAAAATTATAATTAATTTTTCTTTTCCTCTCATTTTCATGCATGCGCTTGATAGAGCATTGTCTCTTTTTGATCCTCGCATTTAAAAGTCAAAACCAGAAGAAATTGTTTTTATAAATACATACACATATATTTCGACTATATAAATAATCATTTAAAAATAAAAATTTAAAGATAGACGTAAAGAAGTTCAACATGTTGCAATATACTACGTATAAATAAAGACGCATGGAATATTATTTTATTAATGTTATTTGTGGAATGTTAGACAGAAGACATAAACAGTTACTACGATAAGGTAAAAAATAAAATTTATCTTTTGCATACTATAAATAAATATAATAGATTTAATTATCTGTAATAAAAATATATATTATAAACCTAAAATTATTTTTCGAGAGAGAGAGAGAGATAAAAGTTTGATATTTTTTTTTAATTTTCAAGAAAATGTTTTTTACAACACTATTACGTATATAATTATCTATAATTTACTCTTTTTTCGAAAATTTTTTTATATAAAAATATGTTAAATTAAATTATTCCTTTCTCTCTCTCTTTCTTTTTTTCTTAAATTTTATGAAAACTTCTCTACAAGAAGGTGCAATATATATGTTGAGTATTCCGACGGGAAGCTCAGCTATTTAGACACGTTAGTGTTTCATAAGAGCGATTCGCGGAAATCTGCTAAATTTCGGTATGAAAGTAGTCGGCTTTAAAATCAGATCCTTGACAAAATTCGAAATCTATCGTTCGAATAATCAAACGAATAGCACAAAAATATGTTACTCTCTTGTGGTTAACGAACAGTTTAACTATTAACCTAAAACTTAAATAGTCCCGCGATATATAAACACCATTGCATCCGCATGGCTTCGATAATTTTGCCATTTACTGTCATTACTAACCGACAGTCCATTTTCAGATATCAACCGAAAAATAAATTTTCTTCGATCAAGAGAAGAACAGAATTTTATTGCCATCACGTGGATTTCAATTCTTCGGTTCCTTGTTATTCTTTGACGTGATAACGGACGTAAAGCAATTCTATTTCATCGACCGGATCGATAATGGTAAGACTGTTGAATAACTATATAAAAGTCGAGAATAATCTTCATTACAATTTACTCAGCTTTCCTTATTTTAGCTGTCTCATATTAGATAATTGCATAATTTTTTGTCTCTTTTGTCGATAGAAAATAACCCGATTTGCTAACAAGGGATCATCTTGGTTTATACTAGTTAGTAAAAATCCTTGATATCAATAAAATTTGATAGCATAAGATGTAAATTAAGAAAAAAGACAATACTGTACAAGTTCCAAAAAATTTCGTATTATAGTATATGGTAAAAGTTCTGGAATGGCTCTAATATCTCAAAAAATATTGATTTATTTAAAAAAAAAATATTTAAAATAAAATAGGGTTTTTAAAAAGTTATCAGATAATGATATTAAATTGATCTTGGAATGACCTTGGAAAGTGCTTTTCAAGGTACACACAAAAATCTTAAATGGAACTTCCTATTTTTCATAGCACATCTTTATAGCTAATGTTGAGACATTTCCAAAAAACTGTTACAATCCTTTTCTTCATAAGAACTTTTTAAGTTATGGCATTTGAAAGTTATAGTACTGCCGGCATTAGCATTAAATTTCTTGGAATCTATGATTTATATGGTCTTGCTTTTTCTTAATTTACACCTTATGCTGTCAACTTTTATTGATATATTAAGAATTTTCACTAACTTGTATTACAAACCGAGATGGTCCCTTGTGGGTAT